GTGAGCAACGACGAGGTCAGCGGTTTGAATCTACCAGTCGTCCCTTGAGGGGGAAAGATGAGACCATCTGCAGTGAAAAGACTGAAAACTCACAGTGCACACTCAGTGCTGTCAAGTCCATGACTGCTCACGGTGGCCCTGCCGGACACTCACTGTGACTGGACCCCCAAGGCAGTCAACAGCACAGGGAGAGACTGTCCATCTTCTGTGGAGCCGCTGGTGGACTTGAACCCGCAGAGACTCTTGGACTTTGAGTTAGCGGTGAGACTGTCTACGGACCACACCCCAAGATCACAGCCCAGAAAACCCTCTCGGGACATTCTGCTCCATCCTCCAGGGGCCCCAGGGGCCAGAATGGACTCAAGCAGTGGGTTTGCTGGCATGGGTGTGTGGGGTTTTGTTGACTTACGAGACAAGTGTCTCGCGGGGTGTTTCTATTTCTCATTCTTCTTCCTTTCTTTGGACTCCATAGTGCTCTGTCCACCACGTCTCTATGACCAGTCCTAACAGTCCGGGGTGGTGGCTTGGACAGTTAGGTCAAGAATGTGCCGATAATATTCCCTCCTCTCTAGCCAGCAGGAAGCCCGGCTGTAAAGAACTCAACAAGTGGACAGGCGAATGAGCGGGTAAAAGGCGTGAATGTGCACAGGGCACAGGCATCATGGAGAGGCACCCACATGGCCGACCATCTGCCAGTTCTATGCTCATTTCAGCTCAACAGCTGACCCCACCATGATCCAGCTCTGGCCTCTAGGAAGACAGCATCTGATCCCAAGCCCCCAGGTGGGGCAGGGGTCCCCACACCCTGACTGAACCCTGGCCTCGGGAAGACAGTGTCTGATCCTGAGCCCCCAAGGTGGGGCGGGACCCCGCACCCTGACTGAGCCCTGGCCTCCAGGCTGACAGCGTCTGACCCTGTGCCCCCGGCTCAGGCAGGACCCACCTTGAGCTGCTCGTAGAGCTCGTAGATCATCCTGAGGCCGTTCATCTCTTTCTGCACCTGGAACAGCTCTGGGTACATGGTGATCGGGAGGTCGAACAGCTTCTCGGCGTTGGCCAGCTCCTGCCGGTTCCGCTCGTGCCTCCCCAGCTCCTTCTCGAAAATGCCGAGGAGCTCCATCCCTGGGGGGTGAAGGAGTGAGCCCGCGTTCCCACGGGGACCGGCGGACGACACCATTCCCGCCCAGCCACCCGGCAAGAGAAGGTGAGAATCACCCCATCTCCAGTGCACTCAAAGCCGCAGGCCAGTGGCATTGGCTCCCACCCACCCAATTCCAAGTCTCTGTCTTCTTAACCAGCACCCTTTGACCCAAAACCAAATCCTTGGCTGGCGAGTCATTTCTAGTCCTCAGTCACGTTGCAGGATGGAGAACCCCTCCAGAGGGTTTCGGGGCCTGTGGTCTTTACAGGAGCAAAAGAGGGGTTTGAACAGCCCACCTTTGCGTTAAACCCTTGACCTCTGTGTCACCAGGGCCCCACAGCACCTTCCAAGCGGATCTTCACTGCACAGCAGAACCATCCTGAGGTCTTTGTAAACCCCTGATGCCCAGTCCACCCTCCAGGGGACTGGACTCAGGCCGTAGATAGTTGGCATCAGTGGCAAAGAATATTAAGCGAGCCACACGCGGCCGGACTAGCAAACAGATCGATCTTGGAGGACATGCTGGCCAGCAGACTCTTTACAAGGGAGGGTGGGGTGTTAAGTAAGACTTTGTATCACAAACCTGGGGCGTGTTATCAAGAAGGACCAGTCCTGGACAAGGACATAGTCCTTGGAAGAACAGAGGGTCTTCAAAAGAGAGAAAGGCCCTCAATGAGATGGACAGGCACAGTGCCTACCTCAGTGGACCTAACGCAGGGCCTGTGGGGACAGCCCAGGACTGAGCAGGCCTGGGTTCTGTTTTACGTGAAGTCACCGACGCAGAGCTGACTCAGTGGTGCTTAACAACAACGGTAAAATGAAAAACCAGCTCACAGCTGAAGAATCAGGGCTCACTTAGGATGGTCAATTCTCCAGCCCTGTGCGAGAGGGCAGAGTGGCCTTCCAGGGCAGAACTAGAGGAACTTTAAAAGTAATCGTGACAAATATCCAAGAAGCTCTGAATGGGGGGAAAGCGATAGATATGGAAACCACAACCTGATTACTACTCCCCACAACAATTCTATTTTTATTTTATTATTTGTGTGTGTGTGTGTGTGTGTGTGTGTGTGTGTGTGTGTGTACTGTCAAATCAGATCTGACTGGTACCGGAGGAGATTGTCTGGTGGATTTGAACCGTGTACCTCTGGGATTGCAGTGCATCTTCTTGCCACTAGGCCACCAGAGCTCCCTCCCCTACAACAATTCTTAAGCGTAATTGTAGACGCGGGGTTCATCTTACCTTTATCAAGATCTGCCCCCACAGAACCAGGGCCTTCCGCATAGAAATGCTTTGCGAATTCCTCTACCTGACACCTGAAGTTTAAAATCTCGCTTCGCGTGATCTAGGGAGAGCAGGTGGGGGGGACTTGCGGTCAGGCCAGGAGACGCGCTTGCACACCTGACCTCTGAGGGTGTAAAGGTGGCGAGAGTGTGAAGGCACCTCCGTGAAAATCCCTTTTATGCTCCCGAGCGTGTGCTCTACGTTCACCGACTCGTTCAACAGCGCCAGCCATCGGTTTTCGATGTTGTCCACCATGTCCTTCTCAGCATCGGTCACCTGGTGGGCCATGGGACAGACGAGACGTGGCGGGCAGTTGAGGACAATTTTAGGGCAAAAGCTACTGCCCAACAGCTTCAACTTGGGTCATTTCCACATGATTTCTTTTCCCCTACATATCGCTCACACACACACACCATCCAAGGTCACTGTGGGAGCTCTCAAATGACAGTTTTTGTTCTAGTCACTGTAAGTCTGAGCCAGCTGGACGACAAGCCCAACAACGGCATTAAACGTCTCAGAAAACAGGGCGGGGTGGGTGGGGAACACTTACAGCAACGTTATACATTGCCAAAGTTCGATATTTCTCCTGAACATCCCGGTATCTTAGTTCCATGATCAAAGATTTACTTTTAATCTCTGAAATCGTCGCCAAGACAAACTTGAGGTCCTCCAGCGTACTGGGGGACTTCTTCAAGTTTTTGGCCAGCAGCTGGAAGAGAAAGTGGGGAAGCACCTGAAGACAGGTGTCTTAGGCACGAGCCAACCTCCCCGCCAAGCAGTTCCGAGGGGATTCCCCCCACCCCAAGGCGGCCACGCACCTCGATCTCCTCGTGAATGGAGTGGAGCTCGTCCCGGGTGGACTCGTTGAGCAGCCTCCCCAGGGACACCACCCAGGACTTGGCGGTCTCCTGCACTGTGCTGGCCAGCGGCCCCAGCTGCAGGCGGATGCAGTGCTCGTCCTTGACCAGAGGGTGTCGGACCACCTCCTGGGCGATCTTGGAGTAGAACTGCAGCTTCTCATCGTAAGCCACGCAGGCCGGTTTCCGGGCTGCAAACTTCTCCATCACAATGGCTTTGTCCAGTTTCCAGAGCGGCCGGTAACGCTTCCACTTCTGGAGGAACTTCATGAGATTGATGAGGATTCTGTGCATGTTCTGGGAGATCATAACCGCCTGTTCGATGATCTGGGGGTTCAGGGAAATGTCGTTGAAGAAACTTATCAAGACAACTTCTTCCTCTTCTCCTCTCTGAGGGGGGCACTCGATGCAGCTGCCATGCATCCACCGGACAAAATGCTGAGGGAAGAATGAAAAGGGAAAGAAATGAAGAAGAAGAAGCCAGTGAATACACAGAACTTCTGCTTGCGTGTGCCTCCTACTCTTACACTCACGGTCACTAAAACGGCTTGCTCTGATGGAAAACGACCTTTCTTTATTAATAACTATGTTAAAAAAACAATCTTCTGCTCTTGAGCCAGCCCACTCTGATGCCTCACAGCCCTGCAGGACAGAGGAGAACAGTACTGGAGAGTTTTTATGCTGGAAGATTTTCAAGCAGACTCTCTTCTCTTTCTCCTGATGATCAATTAGTGGATTCAAACCATTGACCTTTCTGTTATCAGCCCCAACACTTAACGCATGATGCCACCAGGCCTCCTAGCAGTGACATTGCTTTGCAGACAGAACCACAGCCTTTTGCGGTCCCTGAATTAGGAGGTGCATCTGCTCCCCTGCCCCTGTGCTGGCCGCGGCCCACGTAGCTAGATCCCTGCCCTCGACAAGAAGGAAGCAGTTCTGTGCAAGTTCTAAGTCAAGGGCTCCAGAGACCCTGCATTTTTCACGCTTTTGTCCTTGAAACACTGAAGGCACCAAGTGAACATACTTGGGCTCGGCTGACGATCAACCATACAGAGAGGAACCAGGGTCCGGAGCCAACAAGTGGCCAGCCACTGGCTACTTGGATTACCGAACCAACTTCTCCACCCATTGGAAGGTGTTTTGTTTTCATCTACAAAGACCCAGTGATACAACATCTATGAAGTAAGAGAATTTATGCAGAAGAACCTTCATAAACAGGGGAGGGGAGAGGGCAGGGAATGGAAGGGGAGGGGAGGAGAGAAGAGAGGGGAAGAGAGGGGAGGGGAGCGGAAGGAGTGGGCTGGGCTGGTGCCTCGTGCCACACCAGAGGCCAGGCCTCTTAGCAGAGGGGCAGCTGAGGAGGAGAGACGAAACCTCTGTGACTAAGAAGAGAACCGGAAGCAGGGGAGAGGTGAGCTTCCTGTTTACAGCTTGCTCACTTCCACCTGCTGGGTCAGCTCAGGTAACAGTAACTGGGGTGGCCCTGGAGGACTGAGCCCTGGCACTCAGCTCCCTTTGGTCAACAGAGATATGAAAGTCCCTACACACCCAGGGGCACAGGACAGGAACTTGAGCCTGCCTTGCTGCTGCCAAGGGTATAACCACTGTGCCACCAGGGCCGACACCCCAGTAAGCAAACCCGTAAACACCCTCTGACCCCCAGGATGCTCCCCGACTTCTCCCTCAGCCTCTTGGCGCTTGCCCACGCCCACGCTGTCTAGGGGACCAGGCCGACGTGTCCATTGTACCTTGGTGACCTCCACACAGTTGCGGACGGAGTGGACACACATCTTGTCAATCTCAGTGGTGCTGGGATGTAGGATGATCTCGGGGGCACTCAGGATGGTCTCCGTTTGGAACAAGGGGACGTTCCCCAGGATGAGACAATTGAAGGACTGCAAGTTCCTGGGGAGGGTGAAGAGATGAGGCTTGGGGCTTTCACCAGCAACCCGAGAATCGCACTCGTAAGGCCAAGCACAGCCACACGGCACAGAATCACAGCACGTGGTCGGAGGCGAAAAATGTTGAGGACCTCTTTGCTGGAAGATGCTAAATAGTAGTAATGTCTTTCAAAAGTTCATGTTCCATGCTGATTTGAGGAAAAAGGACACCAGGGTACTTACTCCCCCTCATCACGACCCTCCCACTGCCCCTTCCAGAACCATCCAAAGGACACCCTGGGATGGACCAAGCTTCTGGAGTCCCTTCCGCCCCGTGCCTGTCCCCACTGCACACAGCAGTCCAAGCAGCTTCTTGCACCTCACCTCAGCTTCTCTCCAACTGAGAGCTTCTCCCCGTTCTCAGAAGAGGCAGCCCTTTGTCTGACCTCCCCAGCCCGGGTGGCCTAGCCCCTGCCCACCTCTCCTCCCACTTTCCCTATTCCTGGCCCATCCAGGGAGTCACCTCAGGGCCTTCTTACTGTCTCTCAGCTCTCCCTGAAAGCTCCTCCCTGTCCAGCTCATGCCTGACCCTCACACCCCAGCCTCACTGTGGTCCTCCTTGGCCTTCCAGGACCCCTGTTCTCTCTCCGGCTTTACTGTCTCTGCCTCTTTCACTGACATCCTCCTGTGTCCGTCTCCTGTGTCCTGTCCCAGCCCAACTCTGATGGAAGCCCTGCCAGCTTCTGCTCTGTTCAGGACCCTGCTCTGTTCGGTGCCCTCCAGGACCTGCCCAGCACCTGGCACCTGGCAGGCTCTCCCACACCACCAAATGAGTGAGTCCGTGCTCGTCGCCCTTAAGATGCATAGCTGATGAGTGAAATATCTCAGTCACAAAAGGACAAATGCTGTATAATGCCACTGTTATAAAACAGGACTGACATGGGAGTTGATGGGAAACTAAAAAAAGAGGGGATAGATAATGTACATGGTGGAGCTCTGGTGGCAAAAAGCTGCACTCCAATCCCAGAGATATGCGGTTCGAATCCACCAGATGCTCTGCTGGAGTGGGAGGGACACACTGAGTTGACGGTACACACACAAAAAAATAATAAAATAATTTAAAAAAA